ATTTTTCTGCCATACTATACTTAGATGGTTTTTGGCAATTTTTATGCCTCATTATTTTATTTCATCTTATACCTTCACATACTATGATGTTTTTTTGACATTTTATGCCATACTATACTATGGCTTTTTGGGCATTTTTCTGCCATACTATACTTAGATGGTTTTTGGCAATTTTTATGCCTCATTATTTTATTTCATCTTATACCTTCACATACTATGATGTTTTTTTGACATTTTATGCCATACTATACTATGGCTTTTTGGGCATTTTTCTGCCATACTATACTTAGATGGTTTTTGGCAATTTTTATGCCTCATTATTTTATTTCATCTTATACCTTCACATACTATGATGTTTTTTTGACATTTTATGCCATACTATACTATGGCTTTTTGGGCATTTTTCTGCCATACTATACTTAGATGGTTTTTGGCAATTTTTATGCCTCATTATTTTATTTCATCTTATACCTTCACATACTATGATGTTTTTTTGACATTTTATGCCATACTATACTATGATGTTTGTATGACTCTTTACGCCTTATGACATTTTTATGTCTTTTTATCGCTCAGTTTTACCAATGACGTTTTTATGACTTTTTATGCCTTCTAATGCCTTACTATACTACGTCGTTTTTATGACTTTTTATGCCTTACTACAATTCAACATTTTCATGACTTTTTATGCCTATGATGATTTCATGCCCTACCTACCTACCTACATACATATATAGTTACATACATATTGTAGTTTTTCACTTTACAGTGCTTTTTGCATGATAAATCCGAAACATATGGAGGGTTTACATTACAAAATGCTTTGAAAGGCAAAACACATACTCCACGATCAGTATTTGAGGCATCAGTGAGCAGAGACAGATGTAATGTGGTTGTGTTTTCTGCTGATGGAGTTGTTCCTGTATCGAGGCAGATAATAAAAACACATATCTGGCTCCATCAAGTGGCCGTATGAAGGTAACACAACTGAGTGTGTGATTGTTGCTAATACACCAATATACTGTAGTCTTCAAAGTGTGATGTACTGGTGTTCAAACTATAGCTATTCAAAATTACCATGTCAATAACATATATACCATCGTACACACTATTACATGAAAGTCTATGGTCACCATACTGCTGCTCTGTGGTGTTTCTCAAGAAGATACTTCATATTATAAAATTCAATTTACAAATAGTATGGCATTTGAAGAAATACAAATTATTATCACATTATCACTACACAGCAGCGATTCAAACCAGTGTGTTTCAAAAGGAATCAGGGGGAGTCAGAGAGATGATTAATAAGAGCGGAAAGTAGAAAAAGAAAACATACATTTCTGTTACACAAAATTATATCGTACTCTTCAGATATTCCTTTACTATAAACTTCCTTTTTTTAAAATTTTTATTGTGAATGAATTTCTATTTTCAGAATACTAAAAATGATTCAAATTATACATCACCTGGTCTTAAACCATAGGTATGATAACAGGTCACAAGAAGATGATCAAACTATGCAGTTAATGTCATGACCTTTTAAATGATGGCATTTAGAGGTTCACATCAAAATGTCCCATCATGTTTTATGTGACATCTTAACCTCTGGCAACTGGAGATCAAAAACTATAGAGAAACACATAACCTGGCCTTCTGATCACAACCCAAAATCACATCATAAAACAACAGTGAGTGCTGCTATTCTGACCACATACTGTCTAACTAGTATGTGGCTATCTAACACCGTCAGAAATAGAGCAAACACATGTCAACATCAGGAGAAAACAAAACACAGTCAGCTGACCAATAGATTCAAACCCAGATCCACTGGCTGTGAGGCGACAGTGTTAAAAACTGAGCCACGCTGCAGCCAAAACAGTCAATTCTTCCAGTCTGAACATGTGTGCTGCCAAATTGCCCTTGAGCAAGCGACTGAAGCTGTGCTCCACCACTTGGAGAAGACGCATCCTACAGAGTCATCCAAACACCCTGAGCATGAACATGTTTACTCATTCAAAAATATGTCTTCTGCCCAGTCTCTCTGATTGCTCTCAGGTTGAGGTTGGGAGTCAGTGACCTGGATTATTATCATTTTGCGCTGCAGATGAATCAGCTCTGGCCACCTGCCATTATTGTTCTGTGCCTGTCAATGGAATCTGCTGCAGGCCAGGCTGCTCAACCAGCGTCACAGACAAACACTGGGAAAACCAATTAATCATTTCTGGGTGTGAAGGACTGCAGCTTTTGGTCGAGACTTTGGCTCGTCCAAAAAAGTAAAATGCATCATATGTAGTGTGAAATAAAACCACATGAAGTCAAAGGCAGGATTAATGAGATTATTTATCAGATGAACACTTACATTTTACTATCTTTTTTATCTTTTCAATTTATTTAAAGCTGTTCTGATCAATGTTTTTAAATTAACAATGGATTAAATGAGCCATATACAGACACAGTTAGCAACTAGCTGGTAAACACAGAAGAGAATTTAGCAGCTGAAGAGCCTGGTGGAGACCAAAACAGAGATAAAACAAGATTATTAGACTTACAGGACAATTTATCAGGCAAACAAAAACATATGACGCCAAATCAATGATGGAAGTGCTCTGTCTGCTTGATAGCTTCATGATTTATGATAACATGTCTGATGTGTTTACAGCTTGCATCACTGGCCCAAAACAGAGTCTAATAGCAGCACAAGTAGAGAAAAGTTACTGAATGATTGTCATAATTAGCTAATGTCAGCCGCCACAAGCTACTGGTCATACCAGACCAAGTAAAGCTAGCATAATAAAAAATGAGTGTATACTGTGTCCGTATACAGGACTGTGTAACTTTTGATTTGTAAGAGTGACATTTTGTTTCTTATTCTTTAAAAGTTACAAGAAAGCTCCCTGATGCAAGATATAGACATTTGTTTATCTTTATCTCTCTATTACATTTTTACTTCTTAGATCTAATATTTGAGTTACTGTTATGGATTGGTCAATTACTTTTTTGTTTTGTTTTCAATGTGCACTTTAGCTTGTTGTTTTTCTTTTAATTAAATCTTTTACATGACTGTATTAGAAATGTTATGATTTGATCATTGTATTTCAGTTTAATGCTAATTTTGTGGACTATTTTGTGTTTTCATATTACCTATCTTGGTCAGGACAGGCTTGAAAATCATCTTTTCATTCAATCTTAAAAAAGGTCCCATATTTTCGACTTTCCCTTTATTTGAAGTGTTTATCCAGAAAAGATATATTTGTGGTTTTAAGAACCAAAAATCATCTCAATGTAGTTTTACATCTCCTCTCTCCGGCTTCTCTCTGGAGCTCTAGCAACAGGTCGGTGAGCCAATCAGAAGAGAGGAGGCTCTGAGCTTCTCCTCTGATTGGCTGACTGTTTTCTGAGTGATCCAAAAATACAGCAGATTTCAGGTAAAAACACTCAGAGAAACCAAATCCTGCACGGTTGGATGGTGGGTCCAGGTGGGCGAGGCTTGGGGCATGGCTGAGAGCAGTGACTGCTTTGCTATGACATCACAAAGTTACAGGAAGTCCTGACGGCTGGTTTTAAGGCTCAGTTTCTGAATACAGGCTGTGTGTGTTTCTCTGTGGACTGAGGCTTTGATAATTTCACAGTATTCATATAGAACCTAGACCTGAGCTATAATCAAACATTTATAATCAACATTTTACGAAATATGGGACCTTTAATGAGGCTTTTCTCCTTAAATAAAATGTTAATTTATATTTTTATTGCAAAAATATTAAAAGTTTATTTGGATCAGAAACCTAAACTCATTTAAGTCTCATCGTTACAAAGAAGAAAAAGGTTTTTTGAGGTGATATCACTCTGACACGTGAATAAATCTGTGTCTACGTCGCTCACACCTGACCTGCCAATCAGACCCGGTCGGCGCGCAACGCGAGAGCGCGCGCAGCCTAGGAGGAGAGGAGGGAGCGCGAGAGAGGGGGAGAGAGAGAGAGAGAGAGAGAGGGGGACGGGAGAGGATGCGACCAGTGCTGCAGAGGGACCGTCTCTTTACTGATGCTCAAATGTGCGAACAGATCATCTCTTCCTCTTCTTCTTCTTCACAGCTCGTCTGAAGACTGCATCAGGTGAGCACCGAGATTTACTGTGAACTACACACGGACTCATGTCGGGAGGAGCGACGAGGAGGCGTCGTGAGTTGCAGGTGCACGATAATCTCAGGAGATGTGTCAATTAGTGAACAAACTGGAATTAGTTTTTATTTACATTCACACTAAAATAAACGTCTGTAATATTTGTATCATATATAAAACGTCCTCAGCAGTTTGTCTGTAAATCTGTTGCTGGAAACGTTTCAGGGAGGCACCGAAACAACAGGGGGAACTGCAGTTAACTGTGTAAACAGGTCTATAAATGATTTTGATTTTCAGAATAAAGTCTTGGAGAATAGTCTGATCTGGCATCCACTCACTGTAATCCGAGCAGGAATGTGATGAATGAAGTCTACTGTATGTGTGAGTGGGCGACAGTCCCCACACAACAACAACAGGATTGTTCTCTGACATTTCCTCCCATGTTCACTCTTACTATGTCCAGAGAAACATGATGTAAAGATGCACTTGTTTTGTTAAAGTTATTTTCTTCTTATTTGGATGAATCTTGAATGGATCTTTTTTTCTTTTCTTTATAAGCTTCCTGATCAGCATTTCCGTCACTGATATCATCAGAGCAGATAGGGAGTGACTGTTGATGTAATGCAATACTTCCTGCCTTCTGAATAATAAATGAAGACAGTCACTGACCATTATATACTGATTCGCTCTCTCTCTCCTCTCTCTCTCTCTCTCTTTCTTCTGTTTTCTCTCCTCGCAGCATCAGCTCTTTCCTTTCAAACCCCGCACGGACCTTTCCCTGCTGAATGTCACTGTGCTGTTGGAGACGCTCGCTCCTCTTTGATAAGTTCCTCAATCATTTCAGCAAATATTGACCTTCAATCTCTCGCCTCCTCAGGTGATAACATGGGGAACGGTTCAATGAAATCAAAGCGTTACAAACACACTGACGGCTCCAGTGCTTCCTCTAACGGCCGAGCCCACAAAGATCACGGTGGTGGGTACAAAAACTCGTCCCTGGACTCCCTGAGGGCCCGGGTGGAGGAGCTGGAGCGAGAGGGCAAGAGGAAGGATGAGGAGCTGTGCACCAAAGAGCAGCAGATCAAAGGTCTCCAGGAGCAGCTGGTCAAACAGACGCGAGCTCTGGCCGAGCTGAGCGAGGAGATGCAGAACAAGTGCATCCAGCTCAGCAAGCTGCAGGACGTGATGAAGAACCAGACCGCAGCTTCCGCATCACGGCCTCCCTCCATCAAAACCAGCGGGAAGAGCAGCCCTAACCTCAGCGTCCGCATCAAGGAAACCCTCAACAGAAGGAAAGGCGCCAAGGCTGGGGTGTCGGCCGAACCCACATCCAGGACCTACGACTCCAGCAGCCTGCCCAAGTTCTCCTTCGAGAACGCCCGGGTACCGAAGGACGCGAGGTGAGATGTCTGTCTTTTCTTTATTTTATTTTAGGAAGTCTCAAAACACAAGCTGAGGAAAGAGGAACCAGACAGCAGGCGGTGAAAGGTTCGTGATACCCTCAGGCTCAGTCCATCTCAGCTCGGTGGATGAGCTTTAAAAAATGCAAGCAGCGAAGGGAGTGTGTGGTGGGTGGAAGGTGGCCAGGAAGATTTTAGTGTTAATGACATAAAAAAAAATAAAAAAAATCCGAGGTTAATCTATATCTTCATGATATATAGCCAGAAGTATGTGGACAACCCCTTTCTTTATCGCATGAGTTCCTAGCTCTAATAGCTCCAATAAAGGGAAGTCTTCATGCATCAGTATACAGTATATTGTAGATGTTATTACCCAACTTTGTAGCAACATTTTGGCCACTTTCTGTGATAAAGTATAAAGGTGCACAAAGCTCCATAAAGAAATGGTTTTCCAGTTTGTTGTGGAAGACCGAGACTGGACCTCACTAACGCCCTTGTGGAGCAAATCCCCGCATCCAGGTTCAACAAAAGCTGAAACCAGAAGAGTGGAAGCTGCTGTAGCAACATATTAATGTCCATGAGTTTGGAATAACATGTTGAAAAACCTCATATCAGGTGTAATCTTTGGGTGACCACATACTTTTGGCCATAAAGATACAGGTTGGCTACTTTCATGAAACAAACAAACAAACAAAAAGAAAACAGCCTTTTCAGATTAGGACTGTCTTTGCAGCAGCAAATATAAAAAGACATGAATCTAAATGTATTTCCAGTTAAACAGGAGCTCAATCCTTCACATCCAATAAAATGTAATTTCTCCTGCATTTTCATTGATCTATGCTACCACCTCCGTGTCACTGTAAGCCCCACCCCTACAGGAAGTAGAGTATATCAAATTAAGGGAGTAAGTTGATCTCAAAATGCTGCCTCATGGGCAACACAAGGCTTCATGCCTCATGAGAAAAAAGAAAAAAAGAAAAAAGAAAAGACACTGAGGATCATTTAAATTAAGATAACATGCTCAGTAACTGTACGAATCAGAATAACATTATAAATTATAATAACAAGTACACATTGAAGAAGCAAATATTTCACCTGCCTCAGAAGATGTTACATATGAAGCATGTGTACAGTGCGCCCCCTGGTGGCGCTGAGCAGACACACACGTCACTGATCTGCACGGTGTGTGTTGGGTGCTGAGACCTGCAGCAGATCCTGCCTCACCCGACTCTAAATTAACCATGTGCAACAAAATCTTGCAAGTTTTTAGATTGTTTTATATACCTGGTATTAATGGTGACTCTTTGTCAGTCACATGACTGATGTGCTGCATAAAAGAAACCAGAAACAGCTGCAGATGCTGCGCTGGTTAAGACGAGAGAGCTGAAAGATATTTGTAAAGTTGAGTGGCACATTTTTAACAAATCTCCAGATACACTGCACTTTTTTAAAAAGAATTTCCAGCCCATTTCATTTCATTTAAGTCACACGTGCTTTCCAATTCGTTAAAGAGGAGAGGAGCTAGAGAAGGTACAGAGGTGCATCTCTATATAGATAACATCTGGTCACATGTGGTCATACATGTTCAGAAAAGGTTCTGAGTAAATCTAAGTAACGTGAAGACACATTTATTTATATATGGCACCATTCAGAAATAAAGCAAGTCATCAGATCATTCAGATGACATTAAAACAGTATTTAAAAACAATAAAAACTAGTTTGAATCGATAAAAATATTTAAATAAGTCTCATCAAGACGGCATAAAATCATGTAAGAAACTTAGGACAAGTGCCGCACTGATAAAAGCTGCAGCAAACAGTGATGTTTTCATCCTTGATTTGAATGAGCCGACAGTTTCCAGTGATCTCAGGTGTTCAGGAAGCTTGTCCCACAGGTGAGTGGCAGAGAGACAGAGAGCTCGGTTTGGATTCTGGATGCTTCGCATTGCACAGGGAGATCGGAGACGTATTCGGACCATTTAGTGCTTTATAGACAAGTAGGAGGATTTTAAAATCCACCCTAAAAAAGACATCTGAACTCACTGCCATTACAAGTCAAGTCACTGTTATCTACACGCTTTCCCTGAAGGAGCTTAACAACCTCTATTCTTTGCGTCCGCGCTGCTTTAGGTCAGATTCAACTGTCACAGACAAAATCTCTGTGGGATCAGTGACGACCAGCGGACCTCACCTTTTACCGCTCTGCAGAGCGTCAACACATGCCGCCCACGTCCCCTCTCCTCCGATGTGGCATTCAGCCACTTTTGTTCTCTTGCAGCTTAAATGAGAACAAACACAACGAGCGCTGAGCCGATTCGTCACTGAAACAAAACCTGGCAAAAAAATAAAAAGGAGAAAAAAGAGTCATGTTTTTATGTTTGTTTTCAGCGATGTGACGGGGTGTAGAGAGATTCATTAGGATCAAATCCAGCTTAAGGACCTTTAATATACGACCTCTTGTCATGTGACATAATTTAAAGCGCACACGAGCTCAGTCTGACAAGAAACAACACAGAGCGTTATTTAATGAGAGCAGGACGTGTTGTTGTATTTTCCAACATGAAAGCCAAGTTGTTGTTCTGGTGGTAGGACATGAACACAGCGCTGCAGTGAATAAAATGTGAGCATGCCGAGTCTCCCTCTCTCAATCTAATCCTCATGTTTAAAACATGTGTCGCTAATAAGCCCAGGATGGATTATATAACCCGAACTGATGGAAATGAGGCAGCCTGAGACTCTCCTGCAGACCGGCCCTTTGAAGAAGACTCGTCTTCAGTGCAACTCGCTGCAGACGGAGTAACGACGCGGCTGTAGGTGGGAGGGGAGGACGCGGGCTGAAAAATAAAGAGCTGGATGTCATCTGCTCTCGTTTTTCATAAAGCCCAAAGTGATAATTTATTACACACGATAAGGTGGATAAACAGACCACCCACCACCTGCGCCGCTCGCCCTCATGATCTACAGTTAACGTTCAGCCGGGGCTCTTAACCTTTTCGGTTTACTACTCCCCAAAGGAAGTGATGTCTTCTTCTGACGGGCCCCTCGACCACAGCTGTTCAAATGCACAACGGTGAACTCTGACAGCTCATGATGATTGGAGGGAGACCAGAGGCGGCAAACAGGGCTTCGTTTCACAGGGGAGAAAATATTTAACACAGAAAAACACAGTGAGTAATGTGGATGTGGGCGTCCTGGTGGCTCAGGATCGAACCACACAGAAATATTTAACAGTATTACGATTTAGTTTATTTAAGGAAAACTATCAGAACCATGATGGAAAAATATCACAGCCCCGATATAAACATCTACCTCAGTAAACTTCATGTAGTTCTACAAGTCAGTGGCGCTCAAACCTTTTCAAATCAGATCACTGACGCCCCTCAGTTCATCTGATGAGACTTTTGCTTTTAGATGTTTCATTATTAGATGTTATGGACTGCCATGAGGAATATAAGTAAAGCACATCCAAGACCGTTTTCATCCCGTGTTTAGTTCAGAGGATCTTTGTGTTTTCAGATTTGTTAAAGAAGAGTGTGAAGGATAGAAGGGAAGGAAGGAGGAATTAAAAGAGGAAGCAAAGAAGAAAGGAAGAAACTATATTTACCTTGCTGTCAGATGTGTAGAGTCTCTCTCTCTCTCTCTCTCTCTCTCATCGTGTCTGTCAGAACAAAAAGCAAAATTATGCAAAAAAATATAAATGTACTGAGTCACTTTCACTTCAGCCTGTAATGTCTGTAGTTTTAGTTTCCGTCTTCAGATTCTTTGATAATCTTCTGTGTCACCTCCCTGAGAAAAACATGCTAAACAAACCAAAAGCAAATGTTTCCTCTTCATAAATAAAGAGGCACTTCCTGCACGTCCTTGTGTGATGCCACATAAGTTCATCCGCGGCACTTATACAGCACTTTCTCTAGTCTTATTGACCACAGAAAGCGCTTCACGTTACAGGCTGCATTCACACGCACAGATACAGCGTATGGCACTCGCACAGCACTTTCTCTAGCGCTCGCACTCAGGGGCATTCTGGGGTTCAGTGTCTCGCCCGAGGACACTTCAATATGTTGGCCGGAGGAGATCCTCAATCCTAAAGCTGCAACACTCAATAACAAACATTTAATTCCACAATCAGATGTCTAACTGACTCCCGGTGTCTCGGTGTTTGTTGACAGTGTGAAGAAGCTGCTGACCGACGCCCTGAACAAGAACCAGTACCTGAAGAGGCTGGAGCTGCAGCAGATCAAAGACATGGTGGAGTGCATGTACGAGTGCACGTACCAGCTGGGAGAGTACGTCATCAAGCAGGGAGAGCCGGGGAACCATCTGTTCGTCCTGGCAGGTGGGTGCAGTCCTGTTTGATCATTCATCAAATTTAGGAAGAACTTAGCAGCAGTTACACACCTCTGACTACTGATGATTACACCTGTCTCACACACACACACACACACACACACATACACACACACACACACACACACACACTCTGTAAACGTCACATGACACACACTGTCCAATGAGAGGCAGAAGCAACAGGGTGAAGAGAACGGTCTGCAGCTGCAGTGATTTCACTTCTACTGGAGGTATTAATGAGTGGGCGGAGTCTTGTTTGGCCTGCTGGCTCTCCATTGGCCACGCCTCCTCTCGAAGGCCAAAAGAAGCACATCATGTAAAAATCCTGGGAAATGATCTCAGCACATTTTACTTCCTGTATTTCTGGAGTTAGTATCTCTAACTCCAGATGCATTCACTTAACTTTTAATGACACCTGGGTTCGTTAAACGTCATTCTCTTTACTTTTCAAATAACAATTTGGTTTGCAGAAACATTTAACACATGTGCAAACACTTGATTTCACCTGAGAGTCTTCTCCTGGCTCATTTACTCATTTACTTTATTTTACCATTGAGATTAGAAAAATAAATCTTTTATAGGAGAGAACTGGCCAAGATAGCAACCATACAAACACATACAGCATGAAACATCATACCACATGTACGAGATGAGAGCAATTTGAGCTGAATGGCCTCTCAGGAAAAACAACTACATGTCTTTAAGATGCCCTTAACATTTTCAACAGATATAAGATCCAAAGGCGAAGATTTTATTTTACATTTTAGCAGTATTATTCAGTATTATTCAGTATTATTCTGTATTATTCAGTGTAAAACTACAGGAAATGCTGTGAATAAAAGCTGCAGGTCTGTTTCTGCTGTACAGGGTTTCGTACAGCTGCTTGTTTGCAGGTGTTTTTACAGGTTTCATCTACCTGCTGGTGAAATCATGAAAAAGCACAAGAGGAATTTACTGATGAATGAGCAGCCTACTGTCCGGTCTTAAATGGACTGAATGACATTGAAGCACGTGTCTCTCTCCTGTGTCTTGTTTTTCCGTCGGTGTCCTAAATGTGGCTTTTAAAAGAAACCACTGATTGTCCCTGTTTCATATTTACAGACGGGAAGCTGGACGTGTTTCAACACAACAAACTACTCACGTCGATAACGGTGTGGACCACTTTTGGGGAATTAGCGATCCTGTACAACTGCACGCGGACGGCATCGGTGCGAGGTAACACAAACAACACAACTCAAGTTGTCTTCCGTAGGGATCGAATCTGTGACCCTGTGGCGGACGTGATCAGTATTATTATATATTTCTTCGCTCACTCTGTTCGCCACGAGGTCGCACGTCCTCAGTGGTATGAGCTGCGTTCACGATAGGAAAACCTCTGTGACTGGTGCGGAGAGTTTCCCATCCCGTCCAGTTCCCTCAACCATCTTCTTCCGTCTGTAATCCGACACCTCCCTGACCTTCGTCGGAGCTGCGGCGACTTCTTAAAGCCGAGGATTCGCCTAGATAATGAGAGCGGGAGAATCAGATCGGGTCATTAGACCGAAGTAAACAGTGCTTTTGCACGGGTGTGTTGACAAAGGCTTTGCTTGATATCCACAGCTTTGCATTCTGATTGGTTTTCACCTCCTTGGCGTTTGGAAAGCACATACCATGTGCTGTGCGAGTGCTCTCTGTCCGGGTTTGTATATTTAACCAAGTAGTTGACTGGTGAGCCCTTTGGTGGTGGTGGTGGTGGTGGGGGGGGGCACACACCGAGATGACCTCCATATTAAGGGTGAAGTGGAAACACCTCGACAGTTTGACGAGTCTCTCTGGGTGGGTTTCACATGATAACACATGAAGTGGATAAAGGGGAAGTCGTTCTTTTGCTACTGGTTTGTGTCAAACTTTCACAGCCACCTCGTTCTGTAGTTTCTGTATTTGATGTGACTCATTACCAGGACGCAGGACAGATTACAGTGTTTTTCTCCTTTGTCCAACATAACAAAAGAGTACGTTCTGTCTTTGCGGTGCTGGAGGGGTTTAAATTAAACATGGAAGATAAGGGAAGAGAAAAGAAAATCTTTGTTGTTTCTTCTTCTCTGTTCCTTCGTGGTTATCAGTGCCCAACATTTTCTCAGACACTTAGTATCTGCTAATCAGGGGCAAAGGTCAACAGGCTAATGTGGACCATGATGGACGTGTTGTTGCTTTTACAGCGGTCAACAAAGTGCGGACGTGGGCTTTGGACCGGGAGGTGTTTCAGAACATCATGAGGAGGACGGCTGAGACGCGACACGACCAGCACCGCAACTTCCTCCGCAGGTTAGCATCACGCTGTAGCCGAAAAAGCTAGCATGAGATGATGTGTGCTGTAGCTAGCAATCTACAGATGGAACTGCACATGAGACGTTTAGGGGACATCTGTAAATTGTACCGTCTACCAATAAGAGATGAGATTGTCAGCTTAGAACAAAAACAATGAACTAAAGAGGCTAAAAGTTGCCGTTGGGCAGCAGCAGCAGGATTGTGAAAATAGTCCTGTACGGACTCTCCATTGTGGCTCCAAACTGTATAAAATCATTCTTAATATGTATTGTTTTGATTATATAATTTTAACTAAAGAAACAATTTGGTCAATCACAGTGTTTTGAAACCGCTGCATTACCTGATTTCTTTGACACAGACAATCTAGTTCTGCCTGAAATGTCCCTGGCATCACGGCTATATTCGCAGATACAGAGATGAATGTTCATCATGTGTGTTTTGTCTTTCCTGTCAGCGTTTCGCTCTTGGCTAATCTACCAGAGGACAAGCTAAGCAAAATAGTGGACTGCCTGGAGGTGGTAAGTTATTCTGTCAAACTCTGTGTAATTCCACCGGCGGGACAATTTTGACTTTTCATTGTGTTGCACAACCCGTCTGGCAGCTCCTGGGAGCCCCAGCGTTGCAGATAGCTGCTGTCAAAATATCATTACCATTTGGCCATATACCATTACTGCGTGTCAGCATATTCTCTCTACCTCCAGTTGGCGAGACCTCACAAATTAACTTGTTGATGAACAGAGCCGATGTTATTCCTGTCATCGCCGGCCGCTGTATATTGTTACCATAATTATTTGACCAAGGCCCCAGAAGGTGTTTATTCAAATGGGGTGGAGGGGGGGACGAGTGATTTCTAAAAGATGTGCGGGTGACAGGCTTTTGGTTTGGTGTGTGTGTGTGTGTGTTCGCTTCTCCTCCATCAGCGTTGTGTTTCAACAGCGAATGAGGCTTCGTGGGTCAAAAACAGCTTTTCTCAGCGTCTTTTCACAATGAAAAACTTCTGAAGGACAGTTTCCCTGCGATCGCTGCTCGTCCTCCCGCTGCCTCGCGCTCCTTCATTCAGTCGTTTCTGATGGAGCTGATTCTGTTGCGTGTCGGGGGGGGGCTGTAACCTAATAGTGGTGCAGATGTTCGCTGAGAACCCGCCAGATGATATTGAAGCTTCTTGTCAAACAGTGGGGGAATGGAATTTGGTGTGTTTTGCATGAGTGTGTGTTTTGCATGAGTGTGTGTGTGTGTGTGTGTGTGTGTGTGTGGGGAGGGGGGGGGGGGGTCTGAGCACCTTTTCAGTCTGATCTGCAGATTGGATTTTAAGAAGTGGAAAGTTTCAATAGTCAACAAAAAAACAAACAAAAAAAAACCCAGTTCTGTTGAAAGTGAAAACGTAAAAACAGAGTAAGAATTAAAAGAGTGACCTGAGTAAAGACATTAATGCTGCCGGTCCATGTTATCCATCTATTGTGATCGCATCACGCGGGTTGTAGCTGAGAATAGAGGAAACGGTACGACACAATTAATACAGCACGTTTTTTTCGCGGACTGATATTATACATATCGATGTGGCTCCGAGGCTGTTTTTCCTTTTCTCGTGCGTGTTTGAATGTGTTTGTTCACTGAGAACAAAGACACACAAAGACTGACTGACTGCTGCTGCTGCCGGAGCCTCAGATTAACAGAGGAATGTGTTTTTATACAGAAGACTGTGGTTTTTGTCTCCTGGAAACTTACGTTGGAAGCACGTTAGAGAGGGATCTCTAAATGACCAGTACGACCTGTGTCAGTGCACACGTGGGCACGTGACTCTCTGCTTTACCACACATTTAAAAAAAAAAACAAAAAAACAGTGAACTCACCCTTTAACTGTTTCTGATGTAAACAATAAGATAGATGTGACGTCACATACAATATTATATAATTAATTAATATTATATTATTGTATTTTACGTGTCAGATGTTTTTTATTATGAATAAATCTATTATTGCAATAATTAGATTATTGGATTATAAAAAAAATATATATAATATTATGGCCTTCTTGTGTCGGTAAACAACATCACACTTCTTCTGTGTTTGCTGCTTATCAAGAACAGTCATTATAGTGCAACTGTAAGAGCTGTATCCAGCAGCCGGCTAACTTAGCTTAGCACAAGGACTGGAAACAGGTGGAAACAGCTAGCCTGGCTCTGTCAAATGGTGACAAACTCCTCTTACCAGCGTCTCTAAATCACGTTAATTAATATGATATATCTTGTTTATTTAAAAAGGGAGTTTATGTGCGGGAGTGTTTCTTAGCTCGGAAGACTCCAGATTTGATAATATAAATGCAAAATGGACCATGTAACCATATATGTTGTTCATAAGTATAAAATTTGAAAGTACAACTTAAAAAAGTCACATATTTTCTTTGCTTTTTGTCCATGAGCATCACTTCTCTGAGAGTGAAAACTGTTAATGGCACATTTTTACCTCTTCTTAAATCTTTCATGCGTGCTCATGTCAAAAATGATATATTCTAACAGCTCCTTGAAGGCAGCACGATGCTTTCAAGGCGAGCTGCACAGGACAACCGGACCACCTGGGGAGGCTGCTGGAGACACTGGGGGGCGGCCGGTCCTCGTTCTTTCCTGAGAAGATAAACGTTGGACTGGAGCTCAGCAGCCCGGTTTAACAAACCTGAGACTCCATTCAGACGCTGTCGCTCCCCGCCACGGCCACTATAAACACAACCTTGGCGTGTTGTCTCCGCCGTCACAGACGGGTGTTAAACTGGCCTCTCCTGAAGCGTAAACAAGCTCGGACGCTCAAGGAAAATGCCACTTGTGTCAAGAGTTTTGACAGTAAACACCAGGGAATGTTTACGCGTGGTTGCTCTGATTTGTTTGTTCACTTTTCACCGCCGTCCTCTATAGTCCAACGGATTACGGCCGTGAGCGGCTGTCTCAGCTGCGGAGGGGATTTGGCATCCGTCCCAGACAACGCTTCACCGTCCTGGTCACCTTCATTCTTTCTCACTTCCGCTTCTTCACCTAAAAGCTTTAAAAATGGAAGGTGATCTGGCAGCTCGCTGACTCAGCAGCCCCGGCTTTAGTGCTGTGGTTGGGACGGTGCGTTAGGGTCGGTGTGGAGAGAGGGAGAGAGAGAGAGAGAGAGAGAGGGAGAGAGAGAGAGAGAATCTGCCTCTGAACATACTGTACCTTGGTGTTTAGTTCAGTATCTCACAGTGATGCTCGGTTTTATGACGCTCGTAAAACTGAACCAAACACTGAAACAAACTCCAGTGTGATCTGCACCTCTGACTCTGAGTTTACACCAGCGCCATGGAAACCACTTACGTCTGATTGACTGGTATAATCAAATCAGAGCTCATGTGAAAAGTATATTTAATCTTCAGGTAACCGTGGCAACAATTTAGTGCAATTAATCCCATTAGCCCCTAATAAAACCCTCCGTCCTGACCAGCAGGTTGAGAAGCCGTGAATGAGGGAACATCATCGATGGCTGAGCTCCAGCTCCCCGTCCCGCGGGGGACCGGCTACCAGGAATCAGAGCGGCCGGGTCGATGGTTAAATCAATATAATGCTTCAGCTCTGACTGTTGTCACCCACCAACCAACCAACGCCTTCTCTCCCCCCCCCCCCCCCCCCCCCCCCCCCCCCCCCCTTCTGCCCATTAGGAATACTATGACAAGGGAGAGTACGTGATCCGGGAGGGAGAGGAGGGCAGCACCTTCTACATCATCGCACAGGGGAAGGTAACGTGTCTTATTGTAACAGGTGACAAACAAGCAGCACAAACAACATCATCTAAACTTTACTGACTCCACCTTCGATCCTAAACCAAAGACCAGACTCATCGTGGGACGTTTATAGTCTCCACTGAACCCAGATGAATTCATTTCTTTTCAGGTTAGCACCTTTTAAATGGGGCATGACCTTCATCATCTATTTAATGGGTGTATTACTGCCTTTAAATGACGATTTCTTAATTAAAAAAAATGATACTTGAACAATTCAGTGAGTAGAAACCGCTGAGAGAACAAGGAAGAGTCGACATCTCTGTTATGAAAATGTGTGTGACACGAGCCGCACTGCAGAGACTGCTGACGGCATTTTCAATATCTGCAAACAATGGCGCTCATTTGGGCCAGAGACACGAGCCGTAATCCTGTCTTCACAACAACAAAATAATAAATCCTCTGGTTCCTCGGTTACACAACGCCCCCTGCACTGATCAGGATGCTGCCTCAGTCTTTGCAGTGAAAGGCTTTTTCTCATCAGTCAGCACGAGGGTTTGAATGGCTGGACTTGCAGGACTCTGGGACTGTCCCGTTCAATTTGACCTCCACATGAGTGTAAAGAAAACTCCTCAACACAATGAAAACAGCCGGTTTGTCCAACTGCAAGCAACATTTTTGTGTACCTCGACCCCAGTGTCGGAAATCATTCCTTAAGGTTATTAATTTAAAATAATGACAAAAAAAAAAAACAAGTAAAAATACAAACAAAAATAAATGTTTTCCCTCAATAACAAACTGGTACTCCAACAAAAACAATATGTTGTCTGTGAGTCTGGGAAGGTGTGGGACTCCCAGACTCTCATACTCCACCCGTCTGTCTGATATGTGAGAAACCTGACACCGGGGAGCGAGGGGAGATGGAGAGGGGGGCCAGAGCTGTCCGCTGGGGACTTTGAAAATGCCATTATGAGCCGATGTGAGACAGCAGCTCCTCAGCGCCAAGCTAACCGAACCAGAGAAAGACACATGTTGTTCGGGAGGAAGGGGGTTAATACAGGAAATGGCTCTCCGCTCCCTCCCACCACACCCTCTCGTACCCCCCCCTGACCAGGGAGGGAATAAACTCTTGAGAGCGGCTGCCACCAGGAAAAACAGGGGAAGTGGAGGTCACGGGGGGTCAAACGGGACACTTAGTTAAAACACACCCCGGCCGTTATGGCTGTGATGTCATTGTGGCATTTTTCTCCGGCAGGACGATGCCACGAGCGGGACGTCTGACCTCGACCGTGGCGAGCGCGCTGGTTTTTAAAGCCTCACAAATTACAGACAGACTTTCACAACATCAAGGCTGCTGCAGAGTTGTTGTTGAAATCTGGGCTGCAGCCCGAGATGCCACTTAATCAGTCATAACCAATCACGTTCCAGTTACCAATACTGCATGTGGTCTAATTGGATAATACATATTTCAATTGTAATTAAAAAAAAAAAAAAAAGAAAATGTAAAATTGTTGTTTTTTCGTCTCAAAACTTTTAATTTAATTTTAATTAACATGATTTAATTTGATTTTTAATTCTAAACAAAAAAGGAAATCACGTGGTCTATTCGTTTTTTGTTTCTAAACAAAAAGTGAGAAAACTAAATTTAAAAAATGGGCCAATTTGTTTTTTTTTCCAATTCATTTGTTCATTTCTCATTTTTGGCAAAGGCAGTATGTACGTGGTGTCAGACACAAAGCTTGCTTTCAAACAAAACAATAAAAAAAGGAGTTGCCAGAAACAAAAAACATTTTTCATTTTTTGAATTCTGACAACAAAAACATTTTTGTTTTTGAAACAAATAACAGATTTACTCTTTTTAGTTTTTGTTTTTAAATCACAAATGAATTATGGATCATCCGATGATACCCAGACTGAATATGTTGATTTTTTTTTATTTTTAACTTTTTAAAAAAAAATATAATAAAATACTTGGAGACAGTTGTAAGCACACACCAAAAAGCTACAGCTGTGAACTGGAGACAGCATGGCGAGGAAGCGGAGAGCCCTTTAAGACTCCAGCTGACTGTGTTGTGCAGGTGAAGGTGACCCAGAGCACCGAGGCCCACAAGGTGCCGCAGATCATCAACACGCTGCAGAAGGGAGACTACTTTGGAGAGAAAGCTCTCATAAGGTAAAAACCACCAATACATTGTCATTTTTACTCTGCTCGATTGTATTTGCGTGTGTTTTAAATGCAAAAATGTGTGTTTGTGTGTTCACGTGTGTGATGTGCATCTCTCTCCCAGCGATGATGTGAGGTCAGCAAACATCGTGGCCGAGGAGAACGGGGTGGAGTGCCTCGTCATCGACAGAGAGTGAGTATCCTGCAGGTGGGAAAATGAAAACCGAGCTCTTCTTCATGCAGAGTTTTGTCTTGTAAATTATGGTTCTGAGGGAAACGCCGCAAGGACGACAGCGTCCAGCGCGTCGTCCGATCATCCCACGTGACAACACCAGCTGCACAGGATGATGTGATCTTCCTCCTTCATCTCAGTGGGATGATCAAAGTCGGTGGGGGTTATGAAGCCTATCAGCCGGCATTCCAGTGGTTCTATTGTTGACGTGCGGTTTTTGTTTTTCCAGGACATTTGATCAGACAGTGGGCACCTTCAATGAGCTGCAGAAGTACCTCCAAGGCTACGTGGCAACACTCGATCGTGACGACAAGAAGAGACATGCCAGGTAGGCTCAGGCCAGAAATATGAACAGAGAGCCGTGTTAAACGTCTTTTTGTCAAACGAACATAAAACTTGTAGAGGAGTTCTGGAGAAGAAGCCGCAGTGGATGAAATCCCAGTCGGGTATATTTGATTCTTTAGATGATCCATCCCAGTATCAATGAGCAAACCCTTTGACGCTATTCAAAAATCACACCTTTGCTTTTTTTCCACATTTGGACTGGCCGGATTAAATGTTTCCCGTCTCCATCCAGGAGGTCGGTGTCGCGCCACCAGAGTCAGCCGCTGTCTCCTGACGTCATCCAGCTGAAGGAGATGGTGTCGGTGTTCCCTCCGTCCAGACCCTTCGACCACCTGGAAGTCATCGCCACCCTCGGCGTCGGCGGCTTTGGACGAGTAGAACTGGTAAGACCTGAAAGATTATTTATTTACTCTATAAATAACATTTAGAAATAACCAATTCTATCGATCATATCCATCCGTCCGTCCTTGCATGGACAATATTTGTAGCCACGTAAATTCTTAAAACTGCTCGAATTAAAGCAGCAACTACATTTAAGTGACAAAAGCTGCAGTTCCTCTAGTGACCACTAGAGTCTGGCTTATAGACATGTTTACAGCCTGGTGCAAAAACACTGTTTTTGGTCTGTTTGTTGTAACTGTACGTTTTTATATAACTCACCTGTTTAAATTTTATTAAGGCTTAAAGTTACGCACAATTGAGGGCGTGGCCTCGTTGGGTGACGTCAACCTATGGATGACGGAGGCTACGTCCATCTTTATTTACAGTCCATGTGTGAAACATAGCACTCCTGTCAGAAACATACAAAATACTGTATAGTTAGCTTAGCTCACCGCTCTGTTTTAGCTAGCTAAGTAGTAAGCTAGTTTAGTTAAAAAAAACTCATTGCCACTTGTTTTGTTTTGTTTTTATTTACATTTTTACATTCTACATTTTACTTCCTGTTTTGTTAAGTGGGCCTGAAAGCTGACCTGCTCCTGAACAGTCAGTGGTCGAGGTGCATTGTGGGTAGTGTAGGCACAAGGTTTTGACAAGAGAGAAGAATAATGTGTGGAATAAAAGAGATATGATATGTGTTCTTTTAATGTTGTTATCTCATGACATCCCACTCTGTTGTTGCAGGTGAAGGTGAAGGGCAAGGACATCACCTTCGCCCTAAAGGTCATCAAGAAGAAGCACGTGGTGGACAACAGGCAGGAGGAGCACATCCACTCGGAGAGGAGGATCCTCGCCGAGGCTCGCTCGCCTTTCGTCGTCAAGTCCGTCCTCCCGCTCAGCCGCCTCACACTTTTCTATTTTTTTTTTTTTTTGTTATCCCAGACGACAAAACCCTGCTCCATTAGTCTGAGAAAACAGCGCAGCGCTTATTGGTTTTTGATGAGATCACAGTGGAGGGCTGGAGCAGATTACATCTTCTCCATGGGGGAGAATGGCAGAGGGATATTGAGACGTCTGCTGTGGAAATCTAGTTACTTGTTCTGAAATATTGCAGCTGCAGCTTTTCTTTGCCTTCTGTGAGATTACTGACGATCCGATTTCACTGTATGCTGAGGAACAGACTCAGATATTAAAGTGATTCTTTACAACAACTGAACCCCCCCTCCCCCCGACCTCCTCTTCACACACTCTTCGTGTTTATTTGACCTTTTTTCATATGTTTTAACTATTATCTCTTTGTATTTCTGATCTGTATTCAAGACTGATGTAAGGTGATCTAAGATTAGGTGTAGGGCGTAGAGTGTCGGCGTGGTGCAGCATCTCTCACCTGCTCCGTGGGAGTGATATTGAATCTGCACATGCTCCGTGGTTGCTTTTAACAGTCAATCACACCACAAGGATCAATTAGTAACACATTAGATAAAAAGATTAAGCTTGTTTGTGCAGTGATATATTATATTCCACTGCAGTACATTGTAATAATTATCCAGGAGTGTCACAGCCACATTGAGGAGAAAAAAACAATCTGAAATTACCAGAATAAAATTATAATTTTGAGGATAAAATCAGAAAAAAAGTCTCAATATTATGAGAAGGAAGTTGTAATTTTAGGTTGTGTCTTTTTTTTTAGAGGGAAAATATCAATCAAAATCATGCAATCAATCAAAAAAAATATAGAAATAGAGTAATAAACAGGACAAATGCGGATTATAAATGTTTACATGAAGGTCAAATCTTTTACTTCCTGTGTCTTTCTCTCACCCCAGACTGTATCGCACGTTCAAGGATAACAAGTATGTGTACATGCTGCTGGAGGCCTGTCTGGGTGGAGAGATCTGGAGTCTGCTCAGAGACAGGTAGGAGAGACAAACCGCTAACCGACGCCACTGGGAGAAAACTTACATTTCTTTTTTTTTTTTAATTTTTGAATTGTGAGATTACCGTCTATTGAGGGAGCTCAGACTTACTCCGTCTTGCATCAAGGTGCTGCCTGGAAGTGGGTTCAGGTGCATCTGTGTAACGAGGACCACTTCTCCTGCCTCTCAGATGCTCTCGGAAGCAGCTGGCTCTTTCTCGTCAGCAAAAAGTTGAAATCCTGTCTCGTCCGCAGGGGGAGCTTTGATGATCCCGCTGCCAAATTCTGCGTGGGTTGCGTCACAGAGGCTTTTGACTACCTCCATCGCAAAGGCGTCCTCTACAGAGACCTGAAGCCTGAGAATCTGATGCTGGACACTGAGGGATACATCAAACTGGTGAGGGTGTTTTTCCTCAAATTGTTCTACGATTAGTTGTAAGTAAGTCAAGTCATTTGCATTGTGTAATTGATAATTATGGCGCTCTGAGGAGCCGAATGGTTAGGGTATGGGTGACGTCACAGACGCTACACAGTGGACTTTCTTAGAGTTAACTGATCAGCTCTTCTTTCACAGGTTGACTTTGGATTTGCTAAGAAGATCAGATGTGGCCAAAAGACCTGGACCTTCTGCGGTACCCCGGAGTACGTGGCCCCGGAGATCATCCTCAACAAAGGCCACAACTTCAGTGTGGACTTCTGGTCTCTGGGCATCCTGGTGTTTGAGCTCCTCACCGGCAGGTTAGTGCATCTGTGCAGTAAAAGGCTTTTGTGCAGCGTTGAAAGCTTCCTCGACGGGCTGACGTACGTGAAATATCTTCTCTTTTTTTTTTCTTTTGTCCCCATCCCACTAGTCCTCCGTTCTCAGGGAGCGACCAGATGATGACGTACACTTTGATCTTGAAAGGCATCGAAAAGATGGACTTCCCCAAGAAGATCAGCAAGAGACCCGAGGACCTAATCCGCAAGCTCTGCAGGTACGGCGCTAACACGGGCAGAGCATCGCTCAGAAGTGAAGCTAGACAATCCCAGTAGCTAATGAATCCTGCAATCCACCACGTTTACTTTTACTCGTACTCAGCCACCAAATCTCTCGGAACAGAACCAACAAATTGCAGAGAAGACAAACACTCGCAGTCTTTGTGCCTGAAATAGGTCTTAACGATGGGATTCAGTCAAAAATCTTGAGTGTGAAGTTCAGTTGAAAGCCAGATATGCAACTAAATCAGGAGGAGGATGTGTCTTCAAATGCCAAAGCAAAACAAGCGATAGTACAGAAGAAGCAACTCCAAACGTCTTTGGGTCAAAACAGTAACGTGGTAATTTCCCACTCTGCTGAACTTTTACAGGCGAAATCCCTCAGAGCGACTGGGCAATCTGAAGAACGGAATAACTGATATCAAGAAGCACAGGTAAGCAGGAACTGACTCATTTTGTTGCTGATCTCAACTGGGGGGAAAAATTAGCCGCGCAAATAGGCGCTAACTGAACATAATGAATGTGGCCCGGCGAGTTTATGACCTCAGCAATTAGATAATTGCCGAGCACACTGCACGAGAGCGGCATCCTGCAGAACATACTCAAAAGACTTATTACATTATTGGATGTGATAATAAAGCCTCAGTGTTATCAGGATGATTTTCCTTCATGGAGATTCTCCCAGAAAAAAAAAGGGTTGAATGTTCATAAAGGTTACGCGCTTCGATTTTTAAACATTTGTCTTGTATGTGTTTGTCAAACTCGCGACAGTTCAGACATGTGAAGATAACAGTTTTCTAGTGATTGTAAATGACATTTTGTGGTGATTATTGACCTTATTAAACTACTTTTGCAAGTACAACCATTGATTTCATAAGATAGACACATCACAGACATGAACAAACAATGGTTGTGGTGCTTTGTTCTACCTCGGGCGGAGGCATCTCAGAAACGGAGATTTTCTCCTCTTCTAACAGAAAGATAAAGATTTATGTTCGGACATGTTTTTATTCACGCTTCATTTTGTGTCTGAAGGTGGTTTAATGGTTTCAACTGGGAGGGACTGAAGGCGAGGACTTTACCGTCTCCACTGAAAAGAGAAGTAAGTAAAGATGTTTATCCAAACTTGTAAAACTACGAGTCCTAATACTAATAATAGAGACACGTTTTCCTTCACTCCTGGATTAGAGTTAGTAAGTCAGGAGGTATCTTAAGAAATAACTCTCCCTTCCTCCGTCAACAGCTCCTGGGGCCGACAGATCACAGCTACTTCGACAGCTACCCTCCGGATGAGGACAGTCCTCCCGATGAGCTGTCTGGTTGGGACATGGACTTCTAAGACCTTCTCCTACACCTTTTCCTTTTTCGATTTCACATCCTCACACCGAAAAACTAAATGGGCACCTGTGAGAAAATGTGTCACCTGTGTGGTGCAGTGGATGAACACTCACCTCAGTCGAGCACAGCTGGCAGTGTCGTTGGATGGGAAGCCGGTGAGGGATCAAGTCCCTGTTTGCTGCTGCTTTTATGCCCCCCGGATGGTTGGAGCACCTGCGAGAAGAGTTGGGTAACGAGAACCGCGAGCTCTGCTTCGTAACCGGTTCCAAAATTATAACAAGATAGCATTCATGAAAAAAAAACTTTTTCAATCCCACAATTCAAAATCCTACAGATATCTTTTTCAATGCCGAAGTTTGAACTTGATGTGTTTCAGTCTACAGCTCCAGTTATTTGTGCGTTGACGCTCACGTGCAGTGAAACACTGATTTTAAAACGTGAAACTGCTTCATTTAGTGTTTCTACTGATTTTAATCGCCTGGTCCGTTTGTTTCGGAGACGAGGAGACGTCTGCGGATAACTCCTGCACGACTGACCATGAAGGATTCCTAACTGGGAGAAGCTGATGGCAATGGTGGTGAGGACAACTCCCATGATCCAGCGCTACTTCACAGCCTCAACAGACTCTGTCGTCTAACATTAGACGATGAAGTGACAGGTTACAGCGTGTGTGTGTGTGTGTGTGTGTCCACTTGTGTTCATCTTCATATTACCAATGAGGGAGTAAATCAGTGTCTTATGTCACAGTATTATGTTTTTTACATCCCTTTAATCCATCCACACCCGTAATAATCATCTTTTACAGAAACCCGTTTTCTCCGGGTCCTCACGATGGCTGGAGATAAGGAGTAGTTTGTTGCAGTTTGTTTATGGCTGCAGAGGAATTGAGGTGTGTGTGTGTGTGCGGGAGGAGGAGAACAAACACACACTTGAGAGAGGAAATTCTACTTAGCTGCTAAGAATCTAACCACAACACACTGCTATACCCAAAGATTAAAATTAATTTGTGTTAAGGAGCATCAAGCCAACAGTGTTGCCCTCCGCCGCTCAAAGTCCACACACAAAAACACCTTCTGCACTTATTGAGTGCGAGTGTCCCACAGCAGGGTGCTTGACCTGGAGAAATATTTACCCTTTTTGAAGCTGAGTCAACTCTGCGGTTCCCGGCTTCTTAAACAGAAAGTGAGTTTTCTGCTCAGGCCTGAGGCGCCGAGGAGGAAGAGGAGAGGGACAGCGAAGAGCAGAAAACCTTCAGGGTTTTACTATGAGGGGGTTAGGGTAAAAGAAAAAAAGAAAAAGATGTATTTTCCATTTTTTAAACACTTGAGGTTTACAGGAAGTGGACTGTGTACCGTGTGTCTATGTATATACTGTGTACTGTAAAGCACAATCACCGAAAATACACAATTTATACAATCCAAGCTACGTGTTCCTTTATGTAAACCTTAAAACTGCGTGAGTGGATTTTGTAAATGTCACACATATATATACGTCTGTATGTTTGTATGTATACACTGACTGGTGAATGTGTGTGTACAGTATGACTGTGTATGGAAGCACCTGAATTTCCTGGATGAGCTGTGGCCTTAAGATAATGACTGATTTCAGGATACAGCTGTTTGTCAACACTTAAGAGTTTATGCTTTTTTTAATTTTTATTTTAAAGAGTCTGAGGTCTGCATCGCAAATAAACGTCATTACACTTACTTTAGTGCAATGACGAGCGCTGCAGGAATGAGTCTCAAGATCTGGAAATTAGTTGTATTTTAGCACTTCCTGTTCCTTCATCCTGAAGTCGATGGGTTTATAGTTCGATGGCTGAAATAAGGGCTGTGGTTAACACAAGCTCAAGACATTTTCATGTTTTATTCTACAACATAAAATACATCAGTAAATACCCCGGTCCTGATTTCTTTAAGCTTTTACATCTCTTCAAAAAGGCTGGTCGCTAACAAGATTACAGAGAGACTACAGAGGTTGTCGGGGACAATAAACGTCATCACAGCGAACATGAAAACTCACCAGTCCACCTTCACAGCCTCGCTGTGTTTATACTCGCTCTCTAACAAGCTGTCTCTAATTTTGTAAGAGGAAAGGCTTTTGTAGAAGAGGTCGGAGCTAAATCAAACTACAAGTTGAAGTTAAGTGGCGGCGACGTTGACGTCATGCAATGGTGGTGTAGTTCGTTTATAGGCTAACATTAGCTTTTTATGTCTGGTGGTTGTATTGAGGCTCCAAATATCATATAGTGGAGTTCATTAGTGGAGATTATCCTGCTGAAAAAAAACGTGTCGGTATCATAAACTTGTGTTTGTTACAGTGTTTATTTTCTGCGGTAATCCAAAACCCAGTGTAAAAATCCCGTTGACTAACATCCGGTTTGGCCGACAAAAATACGTTGTCACTGCGGCGCTCGTTTCTTAATTTGTACGGGATGATGACTGAACTGTACCTCAAAATAAAAGTTTTACAAAAACAGAAATGTATCCAAACTGTTTAAACCTCTTAATGTATTTCAACCTCAAGATATCAATTGTATCTAAGCACATATTTAAGCATTGCGATTTAAAAAAAAGCTATTTACGTTATTTTATTTTAAAGGTCCCATATTTTCATCTTCTTCTGTTTTTTATTTGAAGTGTTGATCCATAAGAAGATATATTTGTGGTTTTAAGAACTAAAAAACCATCTCAGTGTAGATTCACATCTCCTCTCTCAGGCTTCTCTCTGCAGCTCTAGTAACAACAGGTCGGTGAGCCAATCAGAAGAGAGGAGGCTCTGAGACTCTCTTCTGATTGGCTGACTGTTTTCTGAGTGATCCAATAAAAATATAGCAGATTTCAGGAAAAAACACTTAGAGAAACCAAATCCTGCAAGGTTTGGATGGTGGGTCCAGGTGGGCGGGGCTTGGTGACTGCTTTGTTGTGACATCGCAAAGTTCCAGAAGTCCTGACGGCTGGTTTTAAGGCTCAGTTTCTGAATACAGGCTGTGTGCATTTCTCTGTGGACTGAGGCTTTGATACTTTCACAGTATTAATATAGAACCTGGACCTGATCTATAATCAAACTACACATGGACACAGACTTTTATACTATATGGGACCTTTAAAAGACGGAAAACATTGGTAAAATGCAGTTTCTGTGATTTTATGCACAGATTTGAGGCTGTTACAACACACACATACTGCATTTGTCTAATGAAATCCTGCAAAGCACAAACTGTACATTTATATAAAATGTAAATATTGACTTTTTTGAGCAGTAAGTGAAAGTTGTACACCAACAGTTATGTACATAGAGGATTGCATCCAAGTTTTGCTACTGAATTTCAGAAATATAGATGATGGAAAATGGTACCAAGACAGAGACAGTATTTTGCCTTGTGTGTATTTGTGTTGTTTTTCTGCCATTTTCCTTGCAACGCTTCAGGTTTAGAAATGACAAAAAAACCTGGATAGATCTGAGTCTTGCATACTTTTATTCATGTCTTTGAATGCTTTGTAAGGAGGGTCAGAGCTCAGAGGGGGGGGAGACCTTTAAACAGTTCACCACACCTTCACATCAGTAGTGACAAATGTGCATCACAGATATAAAGACCATCAACATGTCGGGGCTTCAGTCTCCCTATCCCAGACCACACCTCCACAAGATATGCAACATACAGAAAATAAATAGATGCATGTTAAAGGTCATTTCCATATACAAATATATTTTATGAAGCTTATTGTACAAGCATTTCTTTTTTTTTCTTACCTACAGCGTAACATTTACAAGATAGGATTGAACAGTGAAGTTAGAATAACCTCTTATAAACTGCTGATATACTGTCCTGTATATACGTGTCTGTGATACCTGCACTCCAACAGACGTTAGTGAAGTTCAGACCTGGGTCGAGTCTCAACTGTAGCAAAAGCATAGGCTCCAAAACAAAAACAAAACAACAACTGGTCAGCAGGCGTCATGTCTGCAGTGTGTCAGGCCACTCCACTCTGCAGCGTGCATTGCTAAAAATCTGTATTGGCACAAGATGAGGAAGCACTAACTGGAAAAAAAAAAAAAAGTGTCAGTACAAAATATATATAAAGTTAAACAATCTGCCCGTAGCTGTTGACACAAAATAAATGTCTCTGAAATATCAAAATAGTGAATTATTTGAAATACATTGTAGAATAAATTCCACTGACGATCATCCTTATCAAAAGAATATGCACTATGTTCACTCACTGTCGACTATTTTGTACCATAACAAAAAAAAAAAAGGATTGTCAGCTGTTTGCTTTGACTTCAGCTTCATTGCAAACTGAGCTGAGATCGACCGGGCCCCTCTGACCAGGCCATGAATCAAATCAAACTTTTGAAAAGCAGAAATCCACCCATTCAAAAGGCACTTCTATCTCAAAGAGACAATAGAGTGTCATCAACATACACGGAGCTATATACAAAAACAATGTACAAGTCTATAGAAAAACAAAAGGTCGCTGCTATATTTCAGTCTATTTGCTCTGGATAAATATTTGGTTTTATGAACTCTGACAAATAATGACATGTTAACTGCTCTTCCAGATGTGCCTGCTGTTCAGAGTTGACCTGACGCACAGTACATGTGATCGAATATCACATCCCCTAATGATTTATGTAAAGTTCACTCTATACAGTAACGTTTAAAGGCTTAATGCGAACCCAGGAAAACAGATCAGCTCTCCCTGATCATTCAATATATTATATGCATTGCTCATCAGATTTGGTTTTTATTTATTAAAAAAGAAAGTGGGAATTGCATGGGAACTTTTTTGCCATTGGCAGATTATACTCGCACACAATGCACAGCTCATTGTTGTCTATTCTCATCTTTATTTCTCTATTAGCAGAAGCCTGTTTCTGAGGTGTCCTTTCCACCAGACAATCCCGTTTACTATAAACTTGCCAGGGGTTGGCAAGCAACAGAACCTTTGGAACGTCAGAGTTTTTCAGAATAAAATATCCAAATAACTTGTAACTGCTGTGAACGATGGTAAACAGTGAAAATAAGGTTTTTACACCAATTCAACCTTTAAAAAAAAAAAAAAATCGAAAAAATAATTTTTCAATAAAGATAGTTAAAACCAAAATTGATGAGCTTTCATGATATGTAAGGCAAAACTGATTCCAGACCAGCGCTGTGTATTGACTTGATACTGCCTTTTTTTTTTTTTTTTTTTTTTTTTTTGTGGATAAAAACAAATTTCTCATTTTGGGTGTAAATATGATTAATCATTTTAAACATCATGTAATGACATCATGTTCTGAGCTTCGATAAGACCAAAAACAAACAAGTTCAGCCTGATGTCAGGCTCGTTGAAACCACTCGTATTAATCCTCGATGCCTGTTAAGTCCCATGACTTATTTGATTTCTCTTATCGGGTCCAACAAAGGTTTCAAAATCCCACACAAGCATCAAGTGGCTTTGAGAGTCCGGTGGTTTTACATTTGTACTTAGCCCCTGTTCAACGTAGTAGTTTCTCCTTTTGATATGTTTTATCCCTTTATCTTTCCGAAAAGCGAAATCTCATAAAGCTTGAACATTTTCTTTGGCAAAGCAACGGTGTCATGTGTGTCTCCTAAAGAAGCTCCCCATGCCAACTGCTAATGAAGACCACAAATGAAAAGTAGCTTACTCTTCCGGATATAATAAACTCTTAAAATGTGGGTTCCTGTACAACACGGGAGAAGTGATCTAAACACAGATATGTAATTAAGGCTATCTACCGGTCTACATCACAATTCTGGCTTTGGAAACCTAATATATCTCTCTATAGCAGCCAAGCCAATAATTATACAATGACTTCTCGTATAGTGAATAACACAGTGATAGTACAGACATAAATACATACACATAGTAACAAAAAACCATGCAAGTGCGAGCAGAGGTGACTTTGTGGTAATGACCAAAGACAACTTCAAGCTATGAAGAAGAGAAAGATGAGAATGACCCCCCCCTCCCCTCCCCTCCCCCCTCTCACCCCCGACCCTCAGTTCAAACTGAGATCATTTTTCCTGAAAAGTGATTTTTTTTTTGTTTGTTTTTCCTTCAGTTTGTTTTTTTTTGTCTCTTGTGCCTCGATCTGTATTTGAATGTATCTTGATAGTGAGTTTATGATTGCGTTCACCCTGCCTGTCGCCCACCCGAGCAGCGATGATGATGATGATGATGATGATGATGATGAAGACATGAGGATAAACAGTGGCGGGAGAAATCGGAGCGTGGAGATTTGACTTTTTCCATTCCAGTTACCTTCCACACGAGGATAACTCACACGATCCATTCCTTCCCACGAACGGACCAGTCTCCTCTTCACCTGGAACAACAGGCGGTAAACTCTCCTCCAGTGCAAAAGGGAAGTTGTGTTTCAATGGGTGTTTGCGAGTGAGTGAGTGTATAGACTGAGGAAAACAGGAGGAGAGAGTTGTTGTTTTGGCTGCATGTGTTGGTTTTTTGTGTGACATTTAGTTTTATGTGAAAAGGCTTTGAAGGAACAACAACAACAACAACAACAAAAACAACAAAAACAACAACAACAACAACAACAAAAAAACTATCTACAGGCGCAGGAATCTACAGTCATGTTGGGGTAGACTTTGAGCACCACGTTCTTGTCCTCGTCGAAGAAGAGGATGCTGAGGGAAGACATCTTCTCTGGGACGCAGCACGGCTCGGGGATGCCCGGGACGACACCCACTGCCCGTACTATGCTCTGGATGGTGGCGTGGTTCGACGGCTTCAGAGCCTAAAAGCAAAGGGACAAAAGATTTACTAAACTATATCAAAGATTTAAGTTTAAAATGTACCCAGAAAAGAATATGATACAAGCATGCACTTTATTAGTGATTGTTTTCCATATTGGACTTGATGGGAAGGTTTTTTTTTAACAGCTTGGGTTTTATTTTGAAAGTTCATTCTTCTCACTACCACTCAGGTCACAGAATGCGCCATTATTTAGAAAAGAAAAAAGAAATTGAATGGCATTATTTTTAACCTAAATGTTCATTGTTCAATGTTTTTAAGTTCTCGGTTCTATTTTTGAGCTGCTGTACTTGCCGTAGTTGTAAATGCAGGTAGTTTTGTTGTAAAATGAGGGGTTATTACAGATGTTTCAGGTACACTCAAAACTTTTGGTTTTACCTCCGAATAAAGTGTTAATCTGGATAAACTGCTGGCGTGTTTCCAACCTGTCTGATCATCTGACAGCTCATTTGACTTTGTTGTATTTATCTGGGCAGTCACCTTTGCGAGTACAGTTTTATTATAACCAGTGAAATGATGGACAAATGCATGAAATTAAGACGCAAGTTAAAATATACTAGAATTTGCATCATACAACAGCATCTATCTTTTGGATCCCGCAGTAAACAACTTTCACAGTTCATTTGTCAGTTAGTGCACCTATCATTTAACGCAACAATCAACAGCTGCAGGTGGATCAAAGTCTGAGCGGTAGCTCGCAGTTCCCACACATGAGCATCACCTGATCAGTTGCTTCGTGTCTTAGCAGGATCCAGTAAGTGACAGGGCTCTTCCCACACGTTGCAGAGCGCCCTTTAATAGCAGCTATTTAGCAGCTTCTAAAGCTTTGACCTGACAAAGGAGAAGCGACATCACAGGATCACAGGCCTGTCTGACTGAGCAGCAAACCTTCAGGAGAGGGAGGGGAGGGGACGGGACGGGAGGGGAGGTTGCCTTAGGCCCTAGGCCCTACTTCTGGGACTAATTACATCAACTACAAAGGCCGGTGACTCCGAGGTAATGAATTAAGTGGATGGAACTCGTGCATTCCGGCCATGTTTAAAATACCTGTGATGTTATCTTGTCACCAGGGGGCCATGAGCTACAAGAGGGAGCTGATGTTTAACAATCACTGCTTTGCGAGAGATCTGTCAAATGTGTAAAAACCCACGTGTTATGTTTCCTGCATCTGAAGAAGAAACATTCGGTTTGCTTGAGTTGTTTCCTTCAAGCTCATTGCTCATAAAGTTTTACTGATTTTTTGATGCGGAGATCATTCACCTGCTCTTCAGGAAGTTTTGATTACATCATCTGGAGTTTGACCGCTTTAACTGCATGTTTAGTGCGGCAGGCCTTCACCTTGGACTAATAATCTTTTATTAAATTGTATAAATTTAGCTCTGATGCATATCTTCAAAGACTTATTGATCTTAATTCCTACGATGTACTGCAGGAGATGAAAGAACTTCTACCACTGTGTCTAGTTTATCTTGGCGGCCGAAGATTAAAGCAAATGGCATACATTTCTGTCAGTGGTATTATCATCTATAATATAAGACAGATAGGCCTCGGGCACTTCTGATGTAAATGTTTTCCGTATTAACATAATACAGAGCAGCAACAGCAACAGTAAACGAGGGACTGATAGATCAGAATAGCCTCTTCTATTTACATAATGTTTACCATACTGCATGAGGAAACACACAAAATAAAATGAAGCCTTTTGGTCAACAACTCCCGCCCTACAATTTATAATCCGTTGGTCAAACCAGTTTACAACAAGTGTTGGACCAAGGCCTGAAGTATAACCCAGGAACCTTTTCCCAGTGTCAACGTGCTGCCCATTATTACAAGCTGTAGCATACAGTAATTTTTCCCTCCTGTTTCATGTGAATAAAGTTTAGAGGCCCGAAATTCCAAAAATAAACCCAATACTGGTGGAACATCCGCAGAAATAAACAGAATTTAGTGTAGATTTACTGCGTTGACTGATTGCTCCTGATCTTGCGACCCCCTAAAGTTTGTCTCGTGGCATCCGGAACCACTACGGGACTCTGAGTCTCACCTTTGGCATGGGGAACTGGCAGGACCCTGAGCAGTAGTAGGCGTCAAACGACTTAGGCGATATAATCCATTCGCTCCATCCGATGTCAGCAAAGTCCACTTTCAGGTACCTCCGCGCGCAGTTCCTGGGCTCGTTCCACTGCTTCTTTCGCGCCTTTTTAATCGTCTGCTCGTCGAACTGCAGCAGGGGCATCTTGTGCCGCTGGTTTTTGCGAGACTTTTTCCTCGGCCGGCGGGCCTGCTTGTTTTCAAAAGGTTCATATGGACTCGTCTCGTCCCACCCGGTCGTCTCGTAAGGATACTCGGGCCCGGGAAGTTCATTGTTCTGCAACGGGAGCAGAACGTTCACCGAGCGCTTGTGTCTGGGATGTGGCTGTTCTTGTTCAGTGTTGTTTCGCTCACGCAGTCCCAGTTTATGGAAGGGGTGAGAAACGGAGCCCTCCCCTCCCACTGAATGGTGTCTCTGGAGGGTGGCTACCACGCTCTCTGGTTCTGAAATGGCAGAGTCATTGGCGTAGACCAGGATGTAGGGTGAGCGGTCCGACAGGAGCTTCTTCCAGGGCTGGGGCCCTTGCGAAGCCACATCGATACCAATGAGCAGCTCGTCGTGGTGCTTGGCCTGGTTGACCACGCGAGTCACGTCCTTCCACTGCCAAGATATGAAGTCCCTGTAGAGGGTGGACACGTTGATCCGAACATGTCCGAGAGTCCTCATCTTGTTATCCACTGAGGCAAAACTCCAGATGACCATGTGGATGTGGCTGTGCCTCCGGGGCCCGTGGCGGCTGCAGCTTTTGGACCTGGAGCAGCCCTGGGTGCTGTTTTGAAGGTCTCCGATGTAATAATGAAGAGTGGCCGACAGAACGTCTTCTGACTTGGTGAGGGAGGTGAGGTTGAAAATCTGCAGCTGCTTCTTGTTGATAGTACCTGTGCATATAATGAGTATAATCAGAACACAGTTGTAGAAAACAGTTTCAAAATGTAATTATGGTCTTCCCTGTATTGACGTAAAACTGTACCTGCCACGCAGATACAGTTGGTTTTATTATCCCTGGTTCTGAGATACAGTTTGTGTCTCTAAGATTGTTTAAAAAAATTGAACATAAACATCTTTTTTCCAGAAACAGCATCCTCATTATTACTGAGGACAATCCACACTGTTAACAGCTTTAAGATGGACTCTTTCCTCTGAGGACGGTAGTTTCAGGGAAGATTGTTCACAGTGAATCATCCCAAGTAACCAGGACAATGTTTCTGGAAAGACACTTTGTTTTAAATAATATTCCAGTGCTTTAAGCAACACCATTTAAATTCCTCTCATGTTCATTGTAATGGGGGTGGAGGCCGAAACCTCAAGATATCTCAGAACCTGGCCAAATAAAACCAGAACCATCTGCCTGGCTTGATACCATTAGGGGTAAGTGAAAAAAACATGTTAGTAATTTGGGTGAACTGACCCTTTATATGCCGTGATATACAGCTACCAGGCGATAGGAGGCAGTATAATCTAACAAACTTTGACCCTCAGTAGAGAGCGGTCGTCTTTAACAGTGTCCTGGTGATAATAACACAGCGAAGCCTCCGAGTCATTTAGAGCTTATAAGATTAAAGTTATTATAATAGTTAAAGGAGAAAACACTTGTAAAAGCATTTCAATGCAGAAGCTCACTGCGGAGGGGACACACTCTCTGTGCGGTAACAGGCAGGCTGGGCAGCTGCCAGATGTTGGCTCGAGGGAAAATCTGTCTAGACTATCTGACAGTAAAATCTCAAGGCGTGAAAACAAATGTGGCGGCAAACAATTTTGAGCTATACGCGGAGATCTGGTGCGAAATCTCTGCCTCTGGCGCGGGGAAGAGGTAACAGGTTGATCACATTTCCACGACTGGATCAACAGGTGGATTTCAGTTTCAGCTCAGCGAACTCGCACGTGAACGGCACTAATATCCACCAGTTTTATTTTTTTTGTCGATTATTTTGTTTGTTTTAAAGCAAAAATCAGGATTACAAAGATTTACCTGCTGAAACGTGTGGATGGTTTTTTAAATGTTTGTAAATTGCGCACACGCTCCATTAAAAAAATACGCTCGTTGCACTTGTAATGTGCGTATAATTCTAACTGAGTAAGACAGAAGGACACGCTACCAGATCCAGTTTACATTTCCATTATTAATATAATGAGACATGTTCGTATTATCTTTATACACTGGTAGAAATCCGCGCTGTAAACGTGCGTAAAACTTTGGATACATACCCCAGTGCGCTTTGAAACTGCGGACAGTGTTTCCGTCCTTGAAGGGAAATCCAGCCCGGTTGTACTTCGCGTAAAGCATCTGCATGTGTTCCGTCATTGTATCCTGTAAAAGCAGATCCTGGTCTTCCTTCGCCGGGTGTTTTTTATCCACCGAATGCGTAAAATCCACCTTTCGTCTCTCGGGGATATTGTCTGTCTTCAGCATCGCGCAGTATCCAACGCACAGATAACTCCATCCGTAAAGCAGCACGACCACAAACCGAGAGTAGAGAGCCATGCTTGAGCCAAAGCGAAGGTAGAAACGGGGGAAAATAACGGTTGAGGAAAACTTAGCACGTTTCCAGAAGTGGTCCCTATCTCCAAAAAGACATACCATCACCTGAGGAACAGTCCTCTGTGTGAAAATGATACCATCACCTCTGACACCAGTCACAGCGAGAGAGGAAGGTGGGCAGGGGGGGAAAAAGAAGAAAATAAGAGCGTTATCCAAGTTGTCTCTCTGCTTGTGATAAGTTGCAGGTCTAAACGTGCAACAGGCAGTGGATGATAAAAGTCCAGCAGCGCGCAGGAGAACTAAAGCTGCACAAACACCGACGCTCTTGGTTTTTGTATCCGAGCTCTGAGCTGATTTCGGGACCAGCAGTCAACCGTGCCCCCGTCTCAGCTTTCATTGAAGGTAAAGCATGTTGTGCTTGGTATTATAGGGCTTGTGGGACCAGCTGGGTATTCCTCTCTCTCTCTCTCTCTCTCTCTCTCTCTCTGTGTGTGTGTGTGTGTGTGTGTGAGAGAGAGAGAGAGAGAGAGAGAGAGAGAGAGAGAGAGAGAGAGAGAGAGAGAGAGAGAGAGAGAGAGAGAGAGAGAGAGAGGGAGAGAGAGAGAGTTTCCTGTTCAGGATACTTTTACGCACATTCAGCCTGGGGACAAATTATCTCATGTTATCAGGGGCTGGAGGAGGTTGTTTTGTCAGTTGATTCGAGACGGATTTTTCAAAATATTTTCATTAAAGGACATTCCATCGATCTGTTGAACTGATTTCCACACCTAAACTGCTGCGGCAGAGGAGCAGCCCCCTCCGTGCTTAATTTGTGCTCCGCAGAGCTGTGCGTCTGGGCCGCGCTGCTGAATGAAGCGGCTTATTGGCGGCATTAAAGGCTCTCTCCCCTATTTAGTTTTGTTCAATGGAGTTAAGCACACACATCCTGTACCATCACGGTCCGATCCGGATGCTGTACTGTCCCCACTCCCCACCCCCCCCACCCAAAACAGCCCATCCAGGCGGGGTTTAAACACCCCACCCAGCCGACTTCCACCCCCCGCCACTGGGTTTCTCTTTCAGGGGCACCCGGGAGGAAATGATTAGGGCATTTCCCCGCCCTTGGACATCTGATGGCAATAATATTAGCATGCCATGTCCTTCATAGCAGTCAACACGCTGCACGCATTTAACCCTTGCAACTGGGAGGAGACGGGCAGCACGGCATCAGTATAAACAACAGCAGTGACGTCAGCTGGGGGCAACTCAAAACAATCAATCCATAATCAGTGCAGTTTTCTTCATCTTCTTCTTCTTCTTTCTAATTTATATTTACAATAAAGTATGACGTCATAACTGCTGTAACATTATAGATCTAAAGTTATTAGATCTGTTTTCATCCAGAGAGTTTAACTGAGGGCAGAAATGAGATGATTTGTATGAGTTCACATTGTCATATTGCATAATATAACATGGATAGGTTTACAGGCTACGGATGTCAGCTGATGACTGATTGTTGTCAATAACAGAAAACAGTAAAATGAAGGAAGAGAAGTTAAACCGCCGTCCGTCTTCATGAGTGTCAGGATGAGTTTGAGGCCTGTTGATCAGCCCGGAGGTCTGGTTCGTCCTGTGGAGGAACTAATCCGTTAACTGCACTGAAAGCACTCGTCACTCATCATGAATCATATTTCTTGCTCGTAGGCTGATGTTTTAAATCTTGACAAGAACTTTCCAGCACTATGCACTTTTTTTTTTCTTTTTATGAATGGAACAAACCACATGACGAGACTGGAACTAGAACATTTGTTGAGTTGAGTTTAAACGGTCTCCTATTAAAAGAAGGCTGTGGTTGTGAATGCACAGAAATGTACCTCAACTTGTGTTTTTCTATTTGTTTTTATTTTTTTTAGTCTACTGTTGATGCCATCTTGGAAACTGCAAAGAAGTTTTCCCGTTGGCTTTGGTTTGAAGAGGGGTGACGAATGGCATAGTGGCCTACCTGCACACACCTCGGGACCTGATCATCCCCGGCTGGGTCGCCCAGGTGAGGGTGTCTGACGTTCAGACCTGAAACACCTGACGACCCCGGGGTTTATCACTAACGATGTGTCCAGGTTGCTCCTCGAGCTGCGTCATAGAACTAGTAAAGAATGAAAATAAAACAACATAATTTGTTCTAACAAGAACAAGTTTATTGAATTAACTCTTCAGTGTTATTGCTCCATATTTTACATCAGGTTTAACATGCTAGACCTTGTGATTCAGACTTCATCCATTGCATTGTCTGGGCATTGTTATCAGAAACTCATAGTATGAATTTTAACCATATTGTTTCCATCACATTTGGTTTAATGGAGAACTTCACTATTTTGTTTTTTCGTCCATCTAAAGCCACTAATGAAATGTCAAACACTTAAAGACGCCTCAGAGTTTAGAGACACCGGAACAGTGTGAATGCGACTGAATAGTGGCTCAGTTTAGTCTGAATCCACCTCTTTACCTCATGTTGTGTATATTAGGGGCAAGTCAGGCCTCAAACTAATAAAACCACGCTTCAGTTGAAACCCCAACAGCTTAAAAGCCCAGTAAAAGAAATGAAGAGGGATATAAGCATTTAAATTAGACTTTATTGTGAAATCATTAGTTTACAGACACATGATCTGTCTGGGTGCAGTTCCAGTAACTTGTTTTCTTCCTTTTCTTTTTTTTTTTTTTAGCTTTGGTCTTCCACAGAGGTAAGGCACATAAAAAGTGGCCTGAGTGATGCACATGCTTGTCTGTCAGTCCACCAGTATTTTTACATTTCATGTGCACATCTGCTGTTTTGATTGGTGGGTGTTTGGAGCGGCCGATGCCACTTTTCAGGGGAGCAGCGGAGCGTGCCGTTCCGTCACTATCACCAGGCCACATGAATGAGCTGCGGCCTGTAAACCTTTAAACAGCTGTGGACCAGGGCGAAATGTCCATTTGCCACCCGGCCGGTTTCAGCTCTTAACTTCCAACAGAACACAAAGCAGAGAGTAAGACAGTCAGGTGGACGGTTCATTGGTTGCGACAGACTTCGCCTTGAGGTTAAATCTGGGCTTCTTACAAAGAGGTCGAGGAAGAGATGACATTCCCAACACAATCCTTCTGTCAGATCTGAATGTGTTTCTAATCCTCGTCGGTCCAGTTTGTTTTGTTGAAACAACAGCAAAGACAAACCAGTTCTTTCAGAGTCCTTTTTAACATGAGAAGACAATTAAAAAAATATATTCGAAGACATCAAAAACAAGACAACCCAGTCACTCAAGTTAATTTTTTTTAACTCCTTAAGACTTCAACCAACTTCAACCCCACAATTCACATCTTTAAAAAAAACAAAAAAAAACAAACAAAATTAAAACCAAAAACCAAAAAAACAGAAACCACTAACTAAGAAAACCCAAAACCAGACCCCCATCCCTCAAACCCCTGCTTTTAGAGAACCAGAACCCATATCCTTGTGTCACACTACACATATTGTTTCAATGAGGCCACCGGGGTCCGATTCAGTCCAAACAGACAAACAGATGCAGCCAGTGGAAGGCTGCTCCGGTATCAGAGACGTCAGAGGTTTTTCAAGGAAAGAACTAATATGTTTAAAACGTGTAACTTTCAGAAATACAGCACAAAGGAAGCAGGGGACATGAGTACAAGGGCATATTAAATATGGCTGCCACTGTGTCAGTTTAAAGGAATAGTTCAGTGTGTTTAGCAGCAGGTAGGAGACAGTTAGCTTAGCTAGCCTAGCGCTGTTTAAAGGTTAAAAAAAAAAAAAAAAGAAGAAACAAACTGCCACAAAGTTTGTTGTGTGAATGCATTAAACAAGCGAGATATAAAATGTTAATTAATGAGCTTCAGAGTTGCTGGTAGTTGGATTTACCTTTTGCAGAGGCTAGCTGTTTCCTCTCGTTTCCTGCCTTTATGCTAAGCTAAGTTAATTTTCATATTCACTGTAAACCAGTGGCGCCTTAATGCGCAGGCTAACTGGGCCTCCAACCAACCAGAGGCCTCATGATACATGAGCCTAATTATTTTGTATCATGAGGCCTCTGGTTGGTTGGAGGCCCGACCGGGACAGGTTTGTCATCATCGTACGAAATGCTCCACCGTACTTATACTGGATTCCAGTAAAGGTGCGAACCTCCACAGCCCTGGGGTCTACATTAATGTTAATGCGCCCCTGGTGCAGATTTCTAACTCTCGGAAAGCAAAAAAACCTATTTCCCCCCCAAAAATTTCAAACTATTCTTTTAAGACTTTTGTTTTTCCATTGAAAGGTGAATTTGTTTTCCGTTCATCATCATAAGAAAAGAGATTTTTTGCAACTGAACATTGACACTGGACTCTGTTGAGCATCTTCATTTTACAGCGTTGTGGGGAGCCATTGTAAAAAGTGGGACAAGTACATTACTGACTCAGAAGTCTACAGAAAATTGATTTATGAACAAATAACTAAGGTCCTGTAATTTGCTTGCTTATAAACACAGATAATGTTACTGGAACAGATTCCTACCATGTGCTTCAATAACAAAAGCTAAAAATTTCAATCCACTAATTAAAAGGGAATCAGCTGCTAAATGTCCTCTGTACTTCCTAAATCATTTCTAAAGAAGCAGAGCTGCAGAGTTGTCTTCCATTAAAAAATGTCAGAGTGAATGACTAATATGTAAATGATAGAGCACTTTGATGTCCTGTAAAGTGTGCCCTGCATCTGGGAACATGCGGAATGCTTTAAGCCCATTACCCATTCTTCCAGTCCAACTGGAGCTACCGCAGCCTGGGGGAGGACATAAAAGCAACCCCCATCATCTTTCAAAGCTCTTACGCCTTTAATTTGTTTAGACAAACAGCCCAAAACATGCCAGGCCAAACCATGGAACGAGCCCGGGGTCCCCGAGCAGGTTCCTGCCCCTAACTAAGACTGCTGCTCAGGGAATGTCAAACAAACTGCGCCGAACTGGGCCTCGCTCTTCACTCTGCAGCATGGAATTAAAAAAAAAAAGAAATTGGTGCCAAGTGTAGAATACGATTGTTTGTAGTAGTAATAGGACTATAATGTCACAAATCTGAGGTTATTTGTGAGGAAACATCCAAGTTGTCACACTATAGTCCACCCACTTCTTCCTCTGGGAATCCTCAGTTTAAAGTCTTTTTGTTTTTTACTGCAGCACCTCCACCCAGATGGCATGCATGATATGAGGGGAACAGTTTGTAAATGATGGTGCAACTACAGCAACTCGGTCAAATTAGAGGCTTCCAGTGCTCTCCAATATGTGCCATATGTATGAACGTGTCAGCAGCAGCAGCGGCGGCGGAGGTAGCAGCAGCAGCGGCAGCGGCGTCTGAAGCTCAGACTGTCCTGATGTTGTGGTCGTAGATGACGACATGGACGTAGAGGTCCGACTGCAGGAATGTCCTGTTGGAGTCCTCACCGGGTCCAGACTGGAACCCAGCACAGAGGTAGAGCAGTTACGAGGGCTTGTTTGGACAGTGTTAGCTATAGTGCATAATGGTGCATTCAGACTAAATGCAAAGTGAATTTCCACTTTGCTTCATCCGTGTAAATTGGTGTTTTCGCCGTGTTTATTCATCAGTCTGGACTTGGACGGATCTCAAAACCGTAACGAAACATCAAGTCCTTTGCTTTTTTTTTGCTCTTAATAGGAAAGTGTTTGCTCAGGCGAACGTTTTCAGGCCACGTGGATGCTTCGGCTCACGGCGCCGCTTGTGCCTTTTCCGTTGACTTTACATTTACATTTACACTTCCTGTAAAAATTGCTTCGCTTTCAGTCTGAACACACCATGATGGAAGGTTCGTTAAAGAAGCATTCAGCAAATTTTGACCATGATAGCGCCGTGTCTCTAAAGCAATTACACTCCTAATACGGTCGCTAGCTCAAACATGCTTCTCTGGGCTGCATGGAAGGTGGTCTTTTCTTCAACGTAGCCTCCTGACAGCCGTTAATTCAACCAATTAGCTTACTTATTCATAGTTGAGATGTTGGAAGTGTGCGTATCAGCTCCAATCCGAGTCTCTACCACCTGCAGATATTTGCAAAGATATTTACGTGTATCTTCTTCAGATAGTAGCTGCTAGCTAGTCCGGCTTATAAACAAGCTAGTCGCTAACTTTTTCTCTCTGTCATTTAGTGCTGGACAGGGAGCGTACAACACCTCTCCCATTACACAGAATAATTAGATTCAAAGGTAATATAAATAAAAATATCTCTTAATACAGGTTTAAAATGTGAAGGCTGCCACAGATAGAGTGTGTTAGCAATTAAACCAAACCGCAGATATCCAGAACACATCTCTTTATAATAACAGGTACATTAAAGGGGAGGCGACTGTAACTGTTCATTTTCCAAAGATGTTTTGTGTTACTTTGAACGTCCGAACTGACGCGGCCCCACCGCTAAGATGTGAAGCCGCTGCCAGCTGGGAGCATTTATATAAGGCTAAGTGTGTCAAAAGCTTCTAGTGGGAGTGTATCCATAGCCAACCATTACACTCAATTTACACTTTTACCTCAAACACACTTGTGGGTGTCCTAATAAGTGAGGCGGTCTTCCTTTGCAAGTTCAAAAGAGCATCAATAAAAATAGACCAATAAAAAAAAAATAAAAAAAATGACCTCATAGACACATTAAGAGAAAATGGGAATCGTTGGGTGAACTAAATGATAAGCATGTATTTAAACGGAAAACCAAAATGTGTCATTAACACTCACGTCATCTAAGTAGCTTCCTCTGTTCTTCAAACGTCAGCTTCAAGAGGTTTTGTTTAGATTGAATCAAGCCATTGTCATAACTGAAATATGAACCCCCCCCCCACCCCCAACCCCCAACCTTCCACAACCCACTTTTTTGGCGAGGACAGAAAAAGTGGTCATGGTATGACAAAGGCAGAAAAACAAACAAACCACCCGAAATGAGTTGATGTGAGCCTTGATTCTGGAAGCTTCCCCTGCGGATCTGCGGCCACATGAGCAGCTAGTGAGCTCATGGTGGGTTAAAAAAGCCGGATGGTTCTGCGCTGCTCCGTGCCGAGCCAATGTGGGCTGAGCTGAGCTGAGCTGGGATCTGGGCACAGGGGTGGTTTGCTGTGTCTGGCTTCCTATGCCTCCTCTTGTGTTTTTAATAGACAGCCTGGTCGGGGCGGTGCTCAACCGCAGCTAGAACACTGTGCTGCCATTTTGGCGATTGGCCTCAAAAACGCAGTCCCCACAGCTCCGTCGGCAATTTCAAAATAGTTCAGCCCCACCAGCTACTTCCCTACCCCCCCCCCCAGCAAAGAGGGAAACTGGAGAGAAAAAAACACCGTCTGTCAGTCGTTAGTCTTCCAGGGCCCCTGTCGGACTGCGAGTGTGGAGGAAGCACCTGTCTCGACCCCTTGATCCTCAATTCTTTGTGCAGGTGGAAAGCAAATATCTTTCCCTCCCACTGATTTCTTTCTCTCTCTCTCTCTCTCTCTCTCTCTCTTTGCAAGTGCTTCTCTTACAGTGTAGTCTCCCTCTTAAAAAAAAAATTACTATCTCATATCTGGGGTCGATTAAGACTCATTAAAAACCAGGTGATTAGTAAAGTGGGCAGAAAGTTGTATTCAGTGGTTAAATCCAGAGACAGTGGGAAAAGGTCCTGGTTCGTATTAAACAAACAGGATGTTGTGGGTACATGGCGAGTTAGTCACCTGAGCCACAAGGACGATGAAATTAGTTTTTTAAAGTTGTTCCTGTTGCAGAAAAAAAAGATTTGAAGAGAGATTTTTTTTTTGACCTTTGCAAAGCAAAGAGGTTCTTTGCTTTGCGGGGACATTTTTACTGCCGTGGAACAGGTGAACTGATCTAATTAGCCGAACCATTTGCCTCCCTGGGGCTTAAAAACAAAGCATGACAACAACAACACACACACACACACACACACACACACAAGAAAAAAAAAACCTACCAAGGGGTCCACATTCAGGATCTTTTTGTCCCTCTTGTTCTTGAAGAGAAGGCCGTTCGGGTCGTCGTAAATCACTTCAAAGTTGGGGCTGGAGTTGGACGTGGACACCTGCGTCTTCCAGTTGTAGAAGCTGTAGAAAAAAAAAAAGGTAACAATAACGATTAGATGACATTTAGCTGTTAAAAAAAAACTACAGGAAAGTAGTTTTTATGTTGCTGTCTGTCTGTGTCGCCCAGACATTTGGTTTATTTTTGCTTTTTTGGGCCCACACAGACGTTGCTTAAGAGACACATTTGAAACCCATGTATTTGAATGAAAGGATGCAACCCATAGAATTCAGGCAGGGTGGGGGAGTGCTGCGGCATGGTTTTATTTTATTTTTTTTTATTTTTTGTTGTTGTTGTCAATAAAAACAGTTGAAAATAGGTCAGCTTTAGATGAGAAACCAACAAAACCAATCTGTACTGTTGCTGACTTTGCATTCAGTCTTCTCTCTCTCTCGCCCTGTGCTGCACCTAGCGTCTTCACAGCTCCTTACAGTAGGTTTCACTGTCTAAACGGGGCCCTCAATATTCAGTATGGATGTAATATAATAATCTATTTGGGTTTCAAAGAAAAGAAAAACAGATAATAACAATGAAAAACCAATACAGATTAATTTTATAAAAGTAAGTTTTAAGAGGTTTTCCTCAGTCAGATCTCAAGGTGAGAGCTTTAAAAGTAATCAATAAAATCTATTCTAAAACTGGACGAGACAAGTAAAAACACTGTTGCAGGGATCCCGGCGCGATGAGGTGAAGGCATGTAAAATAGTGGATGTAGTGGACGCAGCGAGTCAAAACAGCCAATTCACTTCACTTGAAATTCAAAAGCATCAGGAGTTTTGCTTTAGGTTGGACCGTGATTGTCTCGTGGCCTCACTGCAACACAACACTGAAAAGAAAAGTGTGGTTCTGTTTTCCAGTCATAAGCAGAGATGAGAGTCAAGGTGTGTGAGCTTTGTAAGGTGAGCATGTTTTTTTGGATTTGAAATAGGACTCGGCGACACTTGTGTTTGCACAAAGCAAATAGCGATGTTTTGAATGTTACGTCTCTTGGTTTGAAAAACGATTTAAAGACTCCCTCCGACGAAGAACAGGTCATATGATGGTATATCATGAGTGAGATAATCATCAACACCGTGAGTGTTTCCAGCTTGAACTGTGACAGTCCAGAACCAATGACACTCTCATAAAAACAGATTCAGGGTTTCATACGTCACAAACCTAAGGAACCAATCCTGTCAACTTGTGGGGACGGGGGTAGGGGGCTAAATTCACCTGAAACCTTGTCAGTACAGAGAGAGAGAAAGAGAGAGTTAGCATTAGCACAACCGCTAACACTGTGTCAGCCACTGCCGGTTACAAGCTAACAAACAACATAAACAAATAAGAGATGCTAACTACGCTAACCGTTCTGATCCGTCTGCTAGTGTCTGGTTCTGGTCTCACCAGACTGAGTCTCTCTGATGTTTCCTCCTCTAACCGTCTTGACGCTCTTTCACCTGTCCACCTGGAGCAAGCAGGTGGTGGGCGGGGCATAAAATCATTTCTCAATGAGGAAGTAAGAGGAGATGAGCTTCAGACCCAGTTTTCTCTTTTTATGTGGGAAAACCAGGTTGAACTAAATTTCAATCATCAGTGAGTGCTACCTGACCATGTGGCAGTCTGTTTCTTTGGATCATTTTCCTCTAAAATCTCACACAGCAGGAGCAGGAGGCTTTGAAACAACATGAGCAATACACATCACATTGAGGTCACGACTCAGAGTGTTTCACGGAGGGGGGAAAAAAAACTTGACGGATTTCAGAGCATTACACAGCCACCGTTACCGTATCGATATTCAACGGCCCAGTTTTGCTTTGCAGAGGAGAGAAGGAAGGAAAGAACCTGCAGAGTTTCTGTTTCTCTTTGCAAGAGAAGGAGAGAGAAGGTACAAGTCTGTTTCCAATTTGATCTTGAGGGCGCTGTGTTGGAGTTCGCCAAGCCCGGCATTAGAGTAAAGCTGTGGGTAATAAGCAATTGAAACCAAAGAAAGGGTTGAATTCCAAAATAAATGGCCGATTAATTTACAGCATCCGATTGGATCCTGCTCTGCTTTTAGGTTTTCTGTTATTTTTGACACAGCAGAGCAGAAGTGTGCAAGTTTGTGACGGAGTCAAAGGGACACTCGTACTACGTTAATACATTTAAAGGAGTTTTTCAATTTGAGGATGTGATTATTTTTTTTTTACATTTTACTTTGATAGTGCAATAATAAAGTACAGATTCCTCAAGATCCAGTAAAAAAAAGATCCATATCAATTTGACATTCCCGCCATAAACTTTGGCAGATCTTCTCTTTGTGTTGATGTGAATCACAATGGGGCTGGTTGGGAATTGAAAACATCTCATTACGGTCGTGTTGAATCGTGCATTGTTCCCATGTTAAGGTTGGATTCGGCACAACCTTTAAGCTGAGAGGGGCCAGGCATGGAAATGAGAAAACCAAAGACACAAGTCTCAAAAATTGGTTTAACTTTGTTTAAGAAAAAAAAAAAAAAAAATAGAAAAGAAAAATCAATCTGAAATGAAATAAAAAGAAGCTCCGTCTGTTTTTAATTCATCTGATTCATTTGAAACATCTTCATGTACCAAACCACTTCTTTTTTGCACTGTACAAATTTTTATTGTTAATTTATTGTTCTGGAACATGATATATACTATGACACCTTGTTTTGAAAAGAGTTATACAAACACATACTGATATTATTATTACAGTTGTCCTGTGTTTAATTTGAAGTGTTGCTGTCCATAAGAAGATATATTTGTGGTTTTGAGAACCAAAGGCTTCTCTCTGGAGCTCTAGTAACAACAGGTCGGTGAGCCAATCAGAAGAGAGGAGGCTCTGAGCCTCTCTTCTGATTGGCTGACTGTTTTCTGAGTGATCCGATAAAAATATAGCAGATTTAAGGTAAAAACACTCAGAGAAACCAAATCCTGCAAAGGTTTGGATGGTGGGTCCAGGTGGGTGGGGCTTGGTTACTGCTTTGTTGTGACATCACAAAGTTCAGGAAGTCCTGACGGCTGGTTTTAAGGCTCAGTTTCTGAATACAGGCTGTGTGCATTTCTCTGTGGACTGAGGCTTTGATACTTTCACAGTATTAATATAGAAGCTAGACCTGATCTATAATCACACTACACATGGACAGAGACCTTTAGACTATATGGGACCTTTAAGAAAAGTTATTAGTTCTCCGTCAAGATTTTTTTTATCATACAAACTGACAAAACTTAACATATAATCAATAACAACTGCAGTAACAGACTAGGATGTTTCTCTAGCAAGTGATAAGTGTCTTATAGAGCTATACTGCCCAGGCAGTGGTGTAGTATAGTAACACAACTCCACATGTCACACGCTGAGGCACTGAAGGTTGCTTTAGCGGGCCACGGCTATTCTCCTGAAGCAGTTTGTGGTCCAAGAACAAAGTTGGACCTCAGGGAGGAAGCTCGGTGTAAATTTGGGAAGAGGGACGTTATGTCGTGTGTGTGTGTGTGTGTGTGTGGGGGGGGGGGGGGGGGGTGGTTATGAAGCTGCAGCAACAAGTTGTAAATTTGGGACCATAACTTAGTGGAATGGTGCCAGCATGCTGCAGGTCATATGGCGCTTGCTGCGATGCTTTACCGGAGCCAACCCGTGATGAACAGAAGGTATAAAGAATTAACGACCCACACTGTGTCAAATACATCTCAAAACCTACATTTATATTGTGAGAGCTCTGCAGTCTTTGAGATGTTCCCGCTGTTTGGCATGGTGTTGAGATGTTTTCTACAGGATCTGTTGCAGAGGTAATCTCTCGTGGCACATAAAACCTGTTTGCAAATATCCATTTGCATTTGGGCCGTGAAAAAATTTTCTGACTGCAACATATTAGGCATGCGTCCTACAAATTACAAGCAAACATGTAGTTCAGGCAACATAAAAACGTACCCGTGTGGCCTTTCCAAAACCCACAGACCCCTACTATGCAACTTTGGGAAATGTAAATACGTATTTTTTGCAGAATGGAATATGCAAAGGGCCAGGTATTCCAGAGACTGACTTTACTGCTCACTGCGTGGCTTTCCTGGATTGGCTACTTGTCATATTCTCAAAGACAGTTATTCTGAATAAGAGGAAAGGATCTATCTCTGGAGGCTCAAACCGAGGCTGAATATCTTGACCCAGATCTAGACCCAGATCCACCTCCAGGGAGAAAAATTCAGTCTATTCCTAGACCACATTTAAAGGCACCAAATGCAACTGAGTGCTGAACAAAGACAATAAACATCATTAAAATGAGATCGCTAAACAAATAAAAAGAAATATACTAGAAAAAAATATAAAGGCATGATCTTAACAGCATAAAGACTTAAGTCATTTTCTTTTAAAGCTTGGACTTCTTCTTCTTCTTGACCGATTCTGACTTGTGACGTTCTCTGACAGTCAAAGTTAAATGCAGTAAGTTTCATTTCACAGGTGTGAAAGCAATTAAAACACTCTCAAAAGCAATTCTGTGGTAAATATTACTATAGGACAATAACTAATGATATTATGGTATTATTGTCCTAAAGTCTTTCCATCCATCTTCTCCTGCTTATTACGGGGTCACGGTCATCAGTCCACAAAACATTTTCCCAGTAGTGTCACGAGAGAGCGGGTCTGTTCTTCGGTGACCTGCGGGGCTGCAGTGATGTTTTGGGAGGAGCAGCGGCTTCTTCTGTATCGACTCATGAACAGAGATGTAGTTTGTCTGACTGTGGACTGATGAAGAACTAAGGTCTTCGAGATGATTCTGTAACCCAGAGTCACTGACAAATTGTTGCGAGGCCTGGTTCACATCAGCTGGTGTTTCTTGTGAATGAGAAGAAAACTCAAGATCTGGAGCAAATTTACACGTAAATGGAGGGTAATTCAAAAAGCTTCACTGACCTTTTTCTCGCCACTGTATATTTTTATACGAATTTAAAACACGATGAATTTCAGAACATGTGACACCGGATAAAATCTGATGTGTCAGATATCGGTCGACTGCCTCCTGCCAGCTGTCGGAGTAATCTCATGTCCAGG